GGGGGATCTGCCCAGGAGCTGAGGGGCCCCGAGTGGGCACCACCTGTGAGCCGTGACAGACGGGCACCTGGGGTCCCACTCTCTGGGTCGCCCCCCCGCGCCCAGGAAAGCAATGCTGGCCGCAGGCCGACCTCCTTTTGCCCAGAGGAGCCACAGGGTCAGGCGCGAGCACAAAGCTCTAGTCCAGCCCGCCTTGCGGCCTCCAACCCCCTAGGGAGACGGCTCTCCGAGCGTCCGTGCTGCCTGTAGGCAGCCAGGGATCCAGCCCCGGGATTTAATCCGAACCTGCTGGGCTGTCGTTTGAACCTGCTGCCCTCGGCCGCGGGCGAGAATGTCTCTTCCTCTTCTTCCCACAGGGTCAGGCGCGAGCACAAAGCTCTAGTCCAGCCCGCCTTGCGGCCTCCAACCCCCTAGGGAGACGGCTCTCCGAGCGTCCGTGCTGCCTGTAGGCAGCCAGGGATCCAGCCCCGGGATTTAATCCGAACCTGCTGGGCTGTCGTTTGAACCTGCTGCCCTCGGCCGCGGGCGAGAATGTCTCTTCCTCTTCTTCATGGCAGCGCCTTTGCTCAGCCTCCTCACTCATCTCTGGCTCCTGGCCAGTCTCTCCACACCCCTTCTGTGCAGCGGTGGCCACATTTGGACACAGCACTCCAGCTGCAGCCTAAATATCGCTCAGCTGGGCCCCGGTATCACCCCCATGACTCGCATGCACCACGGACCGTGACATCAGAGCTCCCCCGGGAAATCTCGCTCTTGGGGGGGGAGGGAGAAGGTGGCCCAGCTGGGTGGCTCCTACCATGCACCGGGGTCCAGCTGTTAGTCCCAGCTGTGCTGGGGAGAGATGAGACTTCCTCTTCCTTTAGAATCATAGAACCCCAGGGCTGGAAGAGAGGGAGAAGGTGGCCCAGCTGGGTGGCTCCTACCATGCACCGGGGTCCAGCTGTTAGTCCCAGCTGTGCTGGGGAGAGATGAGACTTCCTCTTCCTTTAGAATCATAGAACCCCAGGGCTGGAAGGGACCTCAGGAGTCATCAAGTCCAGCTCCCTGCCCAAGGCAGGACCGATCCCAACTAAATCAACCCATTCCAGTGCTTCCCCACCCTCCTAGGGAAATAGTTTTTCCTAATATCCAACCTGGACCTCTCCCACCACAACTTGAGACCA